TGGGTGTCCCCTGCAGCCCGCATGCTCCCAGCGCCCAGCGAGGCCCTGCATGCAAACCGAGGCTCACGCGGCGCTGCCCTCGTCTCCGTCTTCCCAGCCTGGCACAGAGCTGCACTGTCTGCTCCCCCAGCACATTACTGCTGTGCAAAATTATGTTACTAAAATAGCACCATAGAATCACAGAATGCTCAAGGTTGGAAGGGACCTCTAGAGATCATCTAGTCCAACCCCTGCACACGCAGGGTCACCTAGAGCACGTGGCACAGGACTGCGTCCAAGCGGGTTTTGAAGATCTCCAGAGAAGGAGACTCCACAACCTCTCTCATGGCCTGTTCCATGCTGGGCAGGGCGCTGTGAGGCTCACAGCTTTGCCAAGGTTGGCATGGGCTGGTAGGAAATAGGCTTCCCAGGAAAGACAAGCAGAAGTTTCTTTAAGCAGCCTCGAGGTGAGACCTTTAAGACTGATAGGTGCAGGCCGAGGGGCAGCAGCTGCCCTCCCAAACAAGCCGTAAACGGTGCCATCGCCCTCCCCGCTGCAGCGCCCAGGTCCACGGCAGCCCTGTGCCCGCGCCGCCGCTCAGGATTTTCCTTCCCTCCCCTGACTCTGGCTTCCTGCTTTGAGTCAAGGCAAATGCAGCGCCGGTCGCTTATCTCGGGCGTTGTTGCCGAGCCCGGGAGCGGCTCGCAGTGACTCCTCCACGCTCCAAGGTTTTGCTCCTGGCTGCTCTCGGCCCCTCCCCTTGCGTTTATAGAGCCTCAGCCGGGCAGGAAGGGCGCTCGGTGCGGGCCCCGCGCTCCCCGCCGCGCTCGGCTTTCCCTGGAGCGCCCTGAGGCGCCTTGAGCTGTTCCCAGTCCAAGTGCTGGTCCTGGTGGGATGCCACCTGGACAAACAGCCCCCCAGAGTGGAAAAGCCCCCTGGAGCAAGGAATGAGGTGTCCCCACTAAGCCACAGAGCTCACGGGACTCTTGCAGCGGGGGGTTCATGGTGGGGAAAGGCCGTGTCCCGCACGGGGGTTTGGGGAGGGCGGTGGGAGCTGGAGCAGCGCGCGACCCCCCTCCCGCCCCCGCTGCGCTCCCCC